TTCTTTCTTTCTTTCTTTCTTTCTTCCTTCCTTCCTTCCTTCCTTCCTTCCTTCCTTCCTTCCTTCCTTCCTTCCTTTCTTTTTTATACCATTCCTAGTACATGCATGGATTTTTTTCTCATGGAGAGGACCTCAAATCTAATTAAAAAAAATCTGGCTATCCCCATAACAGTCCTGCCACTATTGCATGAGTGGGCACATCTTACCGGGCAGGTCAGCATAGTAGCACTGAGTCTACAGCCGAGCGAGACCGATGATGACTTTTCTCCCCCAGCATCCTGCACCGCGTCTTCTCCCCATCCCCCACACTGTGATAGCCAGCAAGTGGAGGAAGAGCTTCCAACTTAGTTCCAGTTTGATTTCTCTCTGCTGGGTTTTGATGACTGCCATCCTCAAATGCAAAATCCACACAAAAATCAACATGGACTAGGGCACAAAGGGTAACAGCACTCAATCTGATTGCAAGATTTGAGAAGTTATGCAATGTCCTATGCCAATTGTATCACTTTAGGAAGTAATTGTAGTTAAGAATGGAATATAGATGGCCCTTTTTCCTTTCAACTCCCCTGCATCACCTTCTCCGATAGCTTCCTAAGAAGACAACTTGCAGTTGTTTGGATCTAACTTGACAATCAAATTAAGTGTTAAATATTGTTCGTGACTTGGGGCATTGTGACTAAAGCCAACTGAGACATTAAGGGTGTTATGAACTGACAATGTTGGGGTATGGTGGTGTAATATGTAAGAGATGTTTGGGGTCAGATAACCCTGAGTTCAAACTTGGCTCTGTCCTTCTCTGCCTCTGGACAGTTCACTAAGCTTCCTATATTTCCTCATTGGGATGTGGGAATCAACACAGGTCCAACTTGGTAGAGTTTTATGAGGACAGATTAGGTCAGTGGGCACAAAGGTTGCACTACGAGTTCTTAATGAAGTGTTGTCTTCCAGCTGCAGGCAGATGCAGCTTCCAAGCTCAGGCTTGATCATACAGGGATTCAGTTCCATCGATTACTTCTGCCAGGTGAAACATCAGAGACACTTGTTTATGGCTAGAAGCCACATAATGGCTGTCAGTGAGGACAATCTATTCCAGCATTGATATTTTCAGAGTTACCACACACATGCACTTCTAAATGCTAATCTTGTTTTCAATAGAGATGAAACTTTATTGTCCAATCAAATTATTCTTTTCCAAAGATAAACAGTAAGCAATCCTTTCTAACATTATTCTCTATGGAAGGCTCTCTGGAGGTCAAAAGAACAACAACAACAACAAAAAGTCATATTTCTTATGCCAAAAAAAAGCCATGATAGTTTGCTCCCCAACAGGAATAATTATTATTGATTTACAGTGTAATAGCAGCAAACAGCTTTGGTGATTGGTTAAATGTCTTCACTTTACTGGGGCCATTAATCAATCTTAGCAGGTATTTATTGCCTAGCAGACTACCACGCAATAAAGATGAGCCTGAAATCAACTCCCACACTGGCTTTGACAGGCAAAAATTAATATTTAATGCTGCATTCCTAGCTGACTGGAGATTGAGACTGTCTGACTCCATTTCTGGTCAGCTGTAGCACTCATGAAGGAGTGATCCGAGGAGCCCTCAACTGCAGGGGCTCCCAGAGTGCTGCAACGTCAGCACAGTACGTAGTTTGATTTGGGGATGGTTTAAGTGTCCTGCAGAAATTGTCTGAATGATGATTGTAACTGTTGCTGTCACCTGCACCTTTATGAGTTAGATACATCTTTCTTAACTTTTTTTTTTGAAGAGAGGTTCATACTGTATCTGTATTTGCTGTATGTTTTTTTTTAACCACCAAAAATCAAGTGATTTGTTAGGATTTATGTGTCTCTTTTATTCCCAATTACATTTTTCTACTATGATTCCACATTTTAATCTTTCTGACCAGTGGTAATGTTGACATTGAGGGAGCTAAAAAATGTGATGAAAAGAGAAATGATTCATTTCTTTTCCTCTTTAAGATCTTTTCTCTTCTCCTTAGCTAACGAAAAAACACAATTAATGTGTTTGGTTTTCCCAAGAGTATGTAAAATCATCGCCATCATCATCATCATCATCATCATCATCAGCAGCAGCAGCAGCAGCAGCAGCAGTTATTGGGTTCAAGTGTGCTGGGCACTGCTATTATCCCGAAGTTTAGAGAGATCAGCCAACCTGCTTAAGACTACAAAGCAAGCTAGTAGTAGAGCTGAAATTGTTTCAAATTCAAGTGTGAGCCTGGAGGCTGAATTTCTAGACTTTGCAAGGGTGGACTGTTTCACTGTGTAGTATAACATAACATCACATTGACAAGTCACAGTGCAACCCTTACAGCACACACATTACCAAATGTATCTCTGCCTGGGTTCAGTTGTCCATTGTGAAGTCTTTGTCTGGTGCAAATGATGAATGGAATGGTGTCCCAAGCAAATATCAAGATGTGATCAATCACAGTAATACTTCTGGAATGTTATATACTAAAAACAAGAGATTTAAAAATGACTGTTGAAATGCAAACTCCAGGCATCGTTCCTTCTCCATTTTATTTGACATTAACTCTTTAATGCATTGCCTATGAGTTAGAGTTAGGTCATTCAAAATCAATTTAACTGTTAATGCATTTTCAAAGGAGGCTTCAGAGCCTCAAACCTTTAGGGTTCAGATGGAGGAACTGGATAATGCAGGCGAAAATGTTGAGTATCAGTTTCACACTAAACATATAAGATGATGAAAAATAATTGTTAGCTTGTAGAAATGTCCCAGAACATTTATTTGGCCTATACCCTGTATTTCCACAAAGGCATACTCCACAATGGAATATGGCAAAGTCATTGTATTAAGGTGTTTTTCAGCTGTTCCCAGAGTGGACAGTGAGCACCAAGAATGGGACAGCAGTCAGTACTTTCTGGATCTGAAACCAAGCACTCTGCCTGGAGTAATTAAACATTCCATGTCTGCCTGTGTTTGTGTTAAGAGGCATTCTTTCCTTGTGTGAAGATGCCCGCCTCATGTCATCAATTACACTGTCAGTATTTTTCTGTCTTTTCATTTTTCATACGGACCTGAATCCACTTGCTCTCCACCGACACATCGTGGCATACCCCTGACACAACGGTGCATGTAGTAATTAGGTTGCCCCGGCTGAACTGATTCCATTCTTTGATAACTCTGAAGATTTGCGATGTTGATGCTCTTACATTACTGAGAAGCAGGAGGCAATCTCGGTGATTCCCACCAGGCTTCTGTGGGGATAGAAATGCCTCAGTGACATGAAGTGATTTCTCCTTCTTGTTTCAGGTTCGATGGATCCAAATGACTTCCTGAGGGAGGCACAGATAATGAAGAGCCTGAGACATCCAAAGCTTATCCAGCTGTATGCTGTTTGCACTTTAGAAGATCCAATTTATATTATTACAGAGTTGATGAGACATGGAAGTCTGCAAGAATATCTCCAAAGTAAGTTGAAGACTTAATAAAAGGAAGAAAAGGAGGAATTTCATTTAGCTAGTCCCATAAATGTCAATTTAGCAAGCCTTCTATAACCCAAAAGATGTTTACAATGTGTGTATGTGTAGGAATGAATGTTGTAACATTGACCAGCTCAACTACTATTTAATGGAATATGTTTTGTGTACTCAAAAGGGGGAAAATATTTATGTAGTGAAAGATGAAATTGTTAACAATAGACATACCAAGTAATTAAGTATAGTGTCAGAAAATGGTGGATGGGTATTTTGTGTGTTTCCTTCACCAACTAATTGAACATTATTAGTCATAGACCAATATTTTCTATGGAGTAGAGTTTGTGGACGTGGAATACTTTGGAGAAAGACAGAGAAAGGTATCCTAGGCTCTTTGCTCTTAAGTTTGTACTTGTGTGTGTCTGTGTGTTTGTGTGTCTGTGTGTCTGGGGGGTGGTTATTTGAAGCTACCACCGGGGCTAGGCATCATTACAATTTTCAGACTAAACGGCAGAAACATAGTATTGCTCTATTGCTCCATTTGATCCCTGTAGTCACAGTAAGGGCACTGCAATGTTTATCACAAATGAATAATTCAACAATAATAAAACAATAAGCATTGAAACAAGATGTTCAAAATTGAGATAAAGTACTGAGAGAATAATTCATGCTTGGAAAACAGAGACTTCCTCTGATTTTTTTTTTTTTTTTGCAATATCAGAGTAAAACTGAGAGGATTATGAGCAGGTAAGAAGAGGGGAAGGAAGGGTTCAGGAAGACAGAGCACTGTGCTTTCAAGGGGGAACTTTCAAAAAAACCAAAACAAAAGAACAGAGATTATGACGTGTCCTACATAGCGCTGTGGAATACTGAAATATACTCAGTTCCCTCGCATGAGTTCATCAAAATTAGCAGCCTCAGAACATGGGCCTACCACAGAAGAATTAGCTTCTTGTCTTATTCCTAGAACAATGCAGAAGAGCGATTCTCTGTCATATCCAATAAAGTGCTTTGCAAATGTCACCTATACTAGCCACATTAGGTGGAATTGTGAATTCCCAATATTTAGGCCTGTTTAACTATTTAACTAATTTATTTTGTCTAGCCTATCTTTCCTTCTTGGTTCTACTCATTCTGCGATGTCCATCCTCAGACTACCCAGCAAATGAGAGTTCTTCTAACATGCATTCCTACTGTAATTTATATTCTGGTTACTGTCATCTGCTTTTGGTGTTTGAATGCTTGTGTTCATCCATATCCTCTTGAGCTCCTTGAACATATCTATGATTGTTATTTCTAAATCCTTGTTGTGTGTATCGTTTGAGTTATTTCCACAGGGAACATTACTATGGTAGTACTAATTTTTGGGGGAGATATATTGTGTTGGTTTTTCACGTTCTATTTTGTGGTAGGACCTAGGCATCTGGAGTTAGGTTGTTGGTCGTGTTTTTGGTATGTGTATTTGTCCAAGTTTTATTGAGTGACTGTTTAGATCCCTGTTTGCTGTTACCCATACTTGTCAGGTTATGGGCCAGCTGAATGGTGCTTGAGAGTCAACCCCAGGACCACTCAGGTATTGATGTGCAAGTAAGGTATCAGAAGTAGTCTTAGCTCACCTAGTGCTGGCTGCAGCTTCTGAGCATGGCAACAGGCCTTCCAGAGAATTCGCAGGTGCTTGCTGCAGATACTCAGACAGCTATGGAATGCTTGCACCATTATGTAGCTGGTCCTTAGGTGGCAGGACCTGGGGTCACAGTGGGAGTGGGTGGTGCTATTTGTAGGAGGTATGCAAGTCTGTGGTGGCTCTCAGGTGGTAGTGGCTGGGGCTGTGACAGGGATGAGTGTTGCTAACTGGGGGAGGCTCAGCAGGATCTCTGTGATCCTTAAGTGGCCAGGGCTGAAGTCTGGGTTCCAGTGTGGGTGGACATTGCAGCCTGAGAAAGGGGCACGGGACTCTGCATGTTCCTCTGGTGGATGGGACTAGGCTGTGCTTACTTCTCCGTTCCTGGAAGTCTGCACAGACATTTCCATCTAAGCGAAGCCTTGGCTGGCCAACTGTCAGATCCTGGAATTTCATCTCTCTCTTGGTTCCTCATGTTCCTCTTCCCTGCTTCTGTTTTTAACCCTTAGTTGTTAATCATCTGAGAGCATTACTGATTTGTTTATCTAGCTTATGTGTAGCATCTCCTAAACTTAACCCCACAAGGATGGGAAGGTGTTTCTGTTTCAATGTTTGAGCAATGTCTGATGCACAGGGGTGTGTTTACTCTTACATGGTGACTGACTGAATAGTTAAGTTGAGGTCGCCCATAAACTAATAAGATTGGGATTTGGAGTCAGCAAGTTTTGAGAGTGAGGCACTAACTGGAAGAGCTCTGGTTGGTCCATTGAAAATTCAGACTTTGAGGATTTCTTAGGCCTGTTGATGTGATTTACTCAGGATTACCTTGTCTTTGGATGAGGCCACCAGGGGCAAATTTACTAAGGCCTTTGTGTTCAAAGATATTTTGCAGATAGGAGGAGTAATGAGTGCCTATTTATTACATCTAAGTCTTTACCAATAAGGAGGTAAAAACTCAATAAAATAACCTTGAAAGGATTCTGTTACTCTTGCTGAGCCAAAAGACTCTTTAGTGATAGCATGTAATAGATTTAACAGAATAGATTTGATGTAATAGGAGGTATAAATTGCTGCAGGTTTGTGAACTTGGCTCTAGTTTTGATGCACAGTGGTCATGGAAGTCCCGTGACCTTAGGTGATTCTTAGGCCAGTTCTTCAGACCTGCAAAGCCTGTGATCCAGTCTTCCAGTACTGGGCGTGTTGGTGAAAACCTTCCATGCCCTCTGTAATAGGATTCCAGTGTAATGCATGCTTGAAAGAATATACACTTTTTTTCCTATATAACAGTCTTTGTAGTCTCTAGCTGATTTGTTTTGGTAATAACTTTCTTCAAAATGGGAGAAGCCCATTAAAATACTTTAGCATTGAGAATATTTGGTGACATCTATCTATCTATCTATCTATCTATCTATCTATCTATCTATCTATCTATCATCTATCTCTCCCTATATTTCTGTATCTTGCTGATACTTATTATTTTTTACATATACACCATTTTTATTAAATATACTCTGTGAGAAAAAGACTACCTTAAAGTACCAAATTTCATGTCAATCACACATCTCAGTAAGTATGGAGATGAAAGAAATCAGAAAGGGAAGCTTGGTCTAAATGCTTTTACGGAAGAGTGTAAAGGCACCCTTGCATCTTCATATGAGAAAGCAGTCACCAACATGGAAGGAGGAAGTCACCTTTGTAGAAGAGTAGATTTCAGAACTCCATTTTTTTACTTGGTTCGTTTTTTTTTAAAAAAAAAAAATCTCTAAACACATGGACACTCTCACTCTTAACTGTGTGTTTAATCAAAGGAAGGGGAGGACGTAGAATACACTCGATACACTCTGTGATCAAGTGATAACATTTCTCTGCATGGCAGTGTCGCTCGGCACTGTACTGGGAGATGGGGGAGGCAGATAGATGTCTGGTTTCAAGAATGAGCAGCCGCTTTGCTCTGCTGATGAGAACTCAGGGGAAAAAGAGGTCTCTCGCTTTCACTCCATCCAAGTAACACAAACTTAAAAAAATGGGCGTTCATACAGGCTGTGAAAAGAAGCTATGACAGACAATAGCTTTATATTGCTTTCCACTAAAGTTATGTTTTGAGTATATTCTAAGTTACGCAGGTTTCTTTATAGACTAAAATCAGACAGTTTAATGTGACAAACAGGATGATGTCAGTGTGAGCGGGGATGTCCTTTCCAGTGTTTGGCCACAAGAATTTAGGAGGAGTCATGTGAAAAACAGCTATGTACACGTTCATAATTAATATTTGTACAAGAAATCTTCACATATCAGATACCCACAAACTGAATAATGTTATATTTGGGTGAAAAATAAATACTTAGTGACTGATTTATTGGCCCTTTAATAAACACCATTGAAGAAAACCTGGGTATTTCAGGTAATCCGGGCAATATAACAAAATGTGTTTACCTACATACATATTTTACTAATAACATCTTACTGAAACTTAAAGAAAGTAAATATCTGTTTTTGATTTAGCTTATTGAGCTTCCTTTTTTCTCAATAAATACAAAAAAAATCTAACACATATCAGGCATCTACATACCCCTTAAGGAGTAACAAACATTTTCTGTTTTTGTAAGTTGGGTGGGTTCCCATACATGGTTCATGATTTTCACGCACAGCTTGCTGAAGTGGACTGAAGTAGGCAAGCGTATTATTTTCATCAGTGTCGCCTTCAGTCAAGCAGGAGTGCATAACTGTTGTCCTTCAGAAGCCTGAAGGTGTCTCCATACTCCTCTAGTGTTGTGTGTTTAGAGTCACAGGCAAGGCATGTGTAGGCAGGCAGCACAGAATAGCTTCTGTGATCATAACATTTCAGCCGCAAACAGTTCTGGATTAGAATGTCTATTCTGCAGCCTGTTCCCATGGGTAGTCAGAAGCCCTGTGAATCAGAAATAATAGTAAACAGCAGTTTGTATATTGGTCTGTGCATTTAATTAGATTATTTACTGGAAATCAGATACATGAGGTGATAACAGGGGAGGACATGTATATTATTTCTTTAAAAAAAATACTGTAGTACTTTCCATGTGTCAGATGTTGATCCAGATTACTTACAAGCATGAACTTAACTCATTTTTCTAAGATCTTATGAGGCAAATATTCTTAGTTTACAATTTAAGAAACAAGCATGGGAATGTTAACAAACCATTTCAAGTGAATGTCTGGGACCGTGGTTTCTGCTTTAATACCATGGATAGCATTGACATTGTTTCCCTAGCCTGAATTAGTTGTCTGTTGTTATCTTGCAAACATTTATTATGCCACTTGCTGTAGTCAGTGTGCTGGCTGGTTTTATGTCAACTTGACACAAGCTAAAGTCATCTGAGAGGAGGGGCCCTCAATGAAGACAATGCCTCCATAGGATCGGGTTGTAGGGCAGCCTATAGGGCATTTTCTTAATGAGTGATTGATGGGGGAGGGCCTGGTCCATCGTGGGAGGTGCCATCCCTGGGTTGGTGGGCCTGGGCCCTGTAAGAAAGCAGGCTGAAGAAGCCACAAGGAGCAGGTCAGTAAGCAGCACCCCTCAACAGTCTCTGCATCTGCTCCTGCCTCCAAGTTCCTGCCCTGTGTGATTTCCTGCCCTCACTGCTTTTGATGACGAGCTGTTGTTATATGGGACAGTGAGTTCAAGTTGCTTTTGGTCATGGTGTTTTGTCACGACAATAGTAATCCCAATGAAGACAATCAAGAATGTGGTTGTGGCTTACTGGGTTTCATAGCTTAGGGATCATAGTTCATGGCTCAGGTGCCAGAATTTGACAAAATCATCTCAGAATTCTAATAGGGCTGCATCTATTTCCAAACCAACTCACACTGTTGGAAAGAGCTGGCTTATCCTGGGCTGTTATATTGAAGAAGTCAGTTCCTTGTTGGGTTTTGGTGAGAGGCTGTTTGGCCCTCTTTGTCACTCAGGACAGCTCATAACTCAGCAGCTTGTCACAGTAGTGTGAACAAGTGAGAAAGCAAGAGAGTAGTGAGCATCAGTATGACAAAGCCCCAGCCCTTTGTGACTTAATCTTGGAAATTCTGTTCCCTCGGTTTTTCCATATCGCATCAGTTCAATGTGTAACTGGGTTCAGCCCAGCCCAAGGGAAGGGGATGATGACTAGGAAGCAAGGATCAGTGGGAGCCATTCTAGGATTAACACCACCTATGGCTAGCCACCAGCTTCTACAATTGCCTATACCTCTCTCGTTATTGAATGGATTTGATACTAAAAGGCAGGCTGTTGTGGCCATCTGAGCAGTCCTTATGCTCCATGCTGAGCTTTCTTTCATCTTCAGGATACTATTTGGTTTTCAACCAAGTAACTGATGTTAGAGACCATAACATACAATTTAAAGCTTTTGTGACTTCACACACAAAATTAACCATTTTTTAATATGGATAAGTGGCTCTCTAGGTGTCTTTCTCTGAGAAGTGACAAGGATTTGGATAACTTTACATTATGAAATTCATCCCTGTAGCTTCAGAGTTGAGGGGGTTTTAAGGGTCAGAACTGAAGATTCTGTTGATTTCTGCACATATCCTATTGTTCCAAATTAGCAAGGGGCCCAACTTAAATGTGATTTTTCTGTGTGTGTCCTGGATGAAAAGAAATCAGCACTCAAATGATTAGTGAATCATCAGTCACATAATAATGGTTCTTACCTCATGAAATGTGTGTGCGTGTGTTTCTCTCTTTGTGTGCATATATATATATATGTATATATATAATATACAAATGCTTGTGATATTTAACTCTCAAATTTATTTATTTCTTAATTCTATTTATTCTCCTTTTTATTGGAAAAGTCGCTACAAATGTAGAAAGTATATATATCTTATACAGTAACTTAGCATGTCATTAATGTAGTAACATGAACAGTTAAGAAAATATGCAGCGCTCTCCCAAAGAATTTGAACATAGCAAGCATCCCAAAAATGTCTGAATATTCTAGCTCCCATAACCTCTTACTGTCCTGCATTTTACACTAGTTATTTTCTCTTGACCTAGCATTTACCGGACCCTTTTTGCCTCCTTATTTTCTCCCTGGTTGAAGACTGAACTCTGTGTCCTGCTAGACAGGAGCTTTGCCACTGAGCTGAACTGCCAGCCAGTTTTCAGACAAGCATTTTGGAATTTGCTGTTTCATCTGGCTATCTCCACACCCTCCCCAGCCCTATGCATCATCACTAGGAATACTGTTATTTCTGTGACCATGCTCATCAAGGGCTCCTCTTTACTTGCCTTTTTCCTTTATCTTACTGAGTCTCTTTATCTAATTTGACTATGATGGTCGTTTTCTCTTAACACCTTTGACTTGTTACAGCATCTTTGTTTTTCATGATTCTGGTTGATTCTTCCCAGTTTTCTTTTCTCTGCCGACTCTAAACGTTGATGTTCTCATGAAATGTGTTTCTTCCTAGGAATCTAACACACTTGTTCCCATTCATTAACACAACCATTACATTTGTACCTTTAGCTGCAACCCTGAGCTCCAGACCCATAGGCTTATCTTCTTTCAGCCAATTCCACATGGGCAATTCACATATATCACTGGGGAATTAAAATTGCTCCACTTTTGCATAGGTGCAATGATAATATTAACATCTAGGATCTATTGGGCTCTTCTTAGGTACCTGATATCATGTTAAGTACTTTACATGTATTAATTCATTTGAAATTCCACTTTAACAATGGATACTTTGAGATAATTACTGCTATCACTATGTAAATGAAGACATGAGGCTCAGGATGTTAGCCATATTGTTCAAAGTTACAAAGCAATATGAACAGTAGCCCTGACATCAAATCTGATACCCTGGTGTCAGTCTCCCTACCTCCTATGTACAGCTATTTCTGAAGTCAGGGCTTATGTCTAAGCCTAATGTCCGCAAGTCCAGTTAGCTATATGAAATAATGTTTGATTTAGGAAGGCAAGGAGAGCAGGAGTTGGCCCTTTTGTGAAATAACACCAATTTTCTAGATGCCTGAGAATACTAGCCCACAGTATGGTAGTTTAACCTGAGGGTGGCTTATGAAATTTTAGAGTTTCCAAAGATAACACTGGCCTTCTACTAATTACCAAGCCTATTCTACTATGTAAATTTCTGTACTTATTTATATAGAGTGAGTGGTAGGTGAATTTCTGTCCGTTTAAGGCATCTTTATACTGGAGATATGTACAATGTGTTCTGAGAATAGCAAAACTAGAAGGGAAATTAAAAATGCATTGTGCATGTGGGTATAAATGGGATGTATATATTTTATAAGTGGTATACTCTTAAAATTTATTAGTGATCTAACTTTTAAGAAATATGATAGAAGGATGAAAACTTTTCTTTGGCTTAGCCAGCTTGTCGCCACTTCAGCAGCTCAATGACTAAAGTCAACATTGCAGTTTGTTTTCCTGTTAAAAAATGGAGTGTTTATGTATCGTGTGTATGTGTATGTGTGTGTGTGTGTGTGTGTAGGTCAGAGGTCAGTATTGAGTACTTTCCTCAATAACTCTCCGCTTTATTATTTGAGACACAGTCACTGAGTCTGGGGCTCATTCATTGATGAGACTGGCTAGCCAACAAGCTCTGGGTTCTTCCTGTCTCTGCCTCTCCAACACTGGGATTACAGGCATGTTCAACCATGACCAGATCTTTTTATATCTGTACTGGAAATCTACTATTCAAACTCTCATCCACTGAGCCACCTCTCTATCCTGGACATGCGTTTTAAAAAGGCAGAAGCTCCCAAATGACATTTCCCATGAAGGGGCAAATCAATGATGTGTGCTTTTGAAAACACACAGACTGGTACCTGTGTTGTGATGGTGTTTTTTTTTTTTTTTCTGGTAGATTGGTGTCATATCACATATGATTGATTTATCAGAATTCTCAGAATTCACTTTGGTAGTTTAGTATTTTCCAAAATAATCTCCCATTTTCTCTTTTTTGTTTAGGTGATGGTGGGTCAAAAATCCAGCTGACTCAGCAGGTAGACATGGCGGCACAGGTGGCTTCAGGAATGGCCTATCTGGAGTCCCAGAACTATATCCACAGGGATCTGGCTGCAAGAAATGTTCTTGTTGGTGAACATAATATCTACAAAGTAGCAGATTTTGGACTTGCAAGAGTCTTTAAGGTAGATTTACCTTTGCTTTAATTAGTTCTTATAGTGGGTTCAACACCAATCAGGTTAATAGAGCCTTATGTTCATGATTATTATTTAAAACTATGTTTCTCATCTTGGTGTGGTACCCAAGCTGGAATGCCAACACTCAAGATGGCGAGGCAAGAGGATTTTGGGTTCAAGGTCAGACTTTGAATTTCAGTGAGACCCTGGTCTCCAAACAATAACTGCAAGAAAAGTAACAAAGCCACATACACAAAACAAGCAAGTAAAAGCAGCTGTGCTGTTTATCTGTCTTCATTGATAAAGGCAAGTAGTCAAGGATCTTAGGGACAGAGTACCTTTCTATTTCTATTTCTTCATCAAAGGGTGGGGCAATGAAGCAAAACAATGCTCAGGTAGATTAATAAGTACATAATTAAGTTTCTGGTTGAATTTATGGTCTATTTTTCAAATGCTACCAGCCACATCTATTTACTTTCGCATATCTTTTACAGAAAGTAGTAGACTGTATCTGCCCTTGCTCACTTGACAATACATGCTGCTATCATGATTCTGCAAGCAATCATAAACTCTCCATACATTTATATGTATGTGGGCATTGTGTGTTTTATAAATGTGTGTGTACAAGTGGTCTTATCTGTATGAGTAAATGTAGAGGCCAGAAGTTGACATTGAGGTCTCTTCTTCAATTATTTCTCTAACTTAGTAAAATGTTTTTATTAGTTCTTTGAGGATTTCATACAATGTATCTTGATCATATTCATCCTCTCCCCCAAATTGTCCTAGGTCTATCTCCCATCTCTCTACCCATCCAACTCCATGTTGTCATGTTCATGTTCCATGGTCTCTCTTGCTCTTTCTCTCTCCAAATCTATTGAGACAAGCTAGGCTTTACTTTGGTTTTGGTGTAGGGTTTCTCATAGAACCTGTGGATATCGTATTGGCTAGATTGACTGGCCAGCAGGTTTCCAGGACCCACCTGTTTCCTCACCTTAGCGTAGGGGCTACAAGCATGTATCACATCACCTATTTTTTTTTTTCAATGTGGGCGCTGGGAATCATGCTTGTCCAGAAAGTAGTTTCTCCCCTGATCCATCTTTCCAAAATGGAACCACTGGGGTTTCATTTCCTCATACTCACCCTGTTTTGTGCCATCAATAAGAATGTGCCAATAAGTACCATAGGAGGTGTTTAAATATGAACTTTAGATTTCCACATCATTTACTAATAATAGGACTGTAGAAATGGAACCCAGCAAGTAAAGATTTTTTTTCATATCACTTTTTCTTTTTTTAGAAATTAATTAGAAACACACTCTGTTGATAAATTTTTAAATTATTTAGACACTGCTTTTATTGGTATTAGCAAGTGGTTTAAATCATAATCATTGTTAGCCTTTTAAAAAGTTTTATTTATTTTTATTTAATGTATATACACATTTTTGCCTGTGTGTACGTCCATGCATCATATGCATGGGCACAGTGCCTGCAGAAGCCAGAAAGCCCCAGATCCTCTGGAGCTGGAGTTACAGATGTTTATGAGCTGCCATATAGGTCCTGGGAACCAAACCTGGGTTCTCTTCAAGAGCAGAAAATGCCCTTAACTGCTGAGCCGTCTCTCTAGCCTTAATATCAGAAGCTCTTCAATACCAAGAACAAATAAAAAGAGGTATCCTTTTCTTCTTCTTCCTCCTCCTTTTCCTCTTTTTCTTCTCTTCCTTCTCCTTCCTTCTTTCTCCTCCTTTTTTTTTTCAGTTTGTAAAGGATTGATGTAAATGCAAGTTATCGGAAATTCTCCTGCATGCAATAGATTGATGCTCCTTCCAAGGCTATTATTAGCACACAGTACGTTCTCAAGAAACATTTGGCTAATGACTTCTCACTAATTCTCCTAATTTTATACATCTGGGTCATAATATCTGATATTGTAATAGAAATTTATCTAAGCTCATATGGAATATTTCCCTGTAAATTTTCACGTGAAACAGGTCACAACTAAACAAGGGCAGTACAACCAATTACTAACTTGGCTTGAATCCTTGATGTGTTAACAGGTAGAGAATGAAGACATCTATGAATCTAAACATGAAATAAAGCTGCCAGTGAAGTGGACTGCGCCTGAGGCCATTCGTACTAATAAATTCAGCATTAAGTCTGATGTGTGGTCTTTTGGAATCCTTCTCTATGAAATCATTACTTACGGCAAAATGCCGTACAGTGGTGAGTGATTAATTCAGAAGTGGGCCCTTCCGCTGCAGGTCACCGGCTTAGATGGGACTTTAACTGCTTTGCCCAGACTTAGAGGGCAGAGTTATGAGGCTGACCACACTATGTGCCTGTAGGAGCTCGATAGATAAAATTTGATGACGATAATTTGCATTAATGAGGTGGTTTATTGCTTTCTTCTCCTTTGCTCTTGAATTGCAGTCTTATAGACATGACTTCCTGAAGGTTTTAGTTTAATGTCTCCATCCTGGGAGGTGGATGGTGGATCTCACAGCTCTATCAAGGGAAAGAATTTGCATTGTAACCTAGAGTTCAGTGTCTATAAACTGAAGACTCTGATTGTTCATTTTTTTTGTTCTACTCTGTTTCGTAGGTATGACAGGTGCTCAAGTAATTCAGATGCTGAGTCAAAACTACAGACTACCACAGCCATCGAACTGTCCACAGCAGTTCTACAGCATCATGCTGGAGTGCTGGAATGCAGAACCTAAGCAGCGGCCCACATTTGAGACCCTGCACTGGAAACTTGAAGACTACTTTGAAACAGACACTTCATATTCAGATACAAATAATTTCATAAAGTGAACACCAAGAAGAAGAAACACAACAAAGACGTGAAGAAAATCAGAATCATCAGTCCATAAATACAATGTTATAAACCAACTGTGAAATCAGTTTCTTTTGACATATTCAGGTGGTAGGGTGAACTCAGCCATGTGTTATATATTAAAAAAGATTATCTGTGTATTTTATTGACTGGGGAGCACTGCAGGACAGTCTAAGATGTATGTCATTTTCTCACTGCCTGGTACAATCAAACACGCTAAATGAAGTTATTTTTTTTCCTTTTAAGAACTACTCACATTTCTATTTATTGTTGGAAATGCCGATCAAGAGAATCAACAGATGATAGTTTTTACTCAGTAACTGTTGTAGCATTTTCCTGTTTACTGATTAGAATGGTTATTCATTATTCCTCAAATCGCTGAATCCCATCAGGCTGTTATTATGAAGGAATCTGATTGCTCTGTAGCACAGCAGGACCTGTGCTTGGAGATTTTTTTCCCTCTCTTTTAAAATATCCTGTAACTACAATGATGGCAAAGCCATGTTAAATGACTTGATTGTACTTGAAGTAATTGCACATAGTTTTCCTATGCATAAGAAAATGAAGCAGCTGTTGAGAAAAAGAATTAAAATCTTTCTCATTTTGTAGAAGGAAATGATGGTGTTTTTCTATACCTCAGTATGTGCCGTCAGAGAATCGTCTGCATTAGTTTTAATCTCTTAATGTCGGGAATCAGGTTGCAAAGCTGATGAATTATTATGTTTGGGAATACAAGGGAACCACCGCATTGCCCACCCAGTCTGAAAAATAGATATTAACGGGGTTTAGGGGAGCTGGAGGAGAGCTGGAGAATTGCTGCCGCTTTCTAAGCAACAATAAAAAGTTCCTTTGACACACAGGCCAGTTTTAAATTGGTTACAAAACAGGCCAAGCCCTGCTTCAGCTCTTGAGTCTTGGGATAATGTCTGAACTTGGTTAGGAACTGTAGCATTTGTCTGTTAAGACAGGAAGTTTTTTAGTATCTTATTTTTTTTCTCACTTTGGTAAGAACTTCTTCGTGTGCTTAGGCAATGAGTGTATCAAACATTCTGCCTGGTGAATGGCTAACAAGACTTCTCCAAAGTGATGTCAAAGTCAAGATTTATATATTTCAAGACCTTCTAATGCACAGCACTGAATGAACATACCAAAAGGAAACAGGGCATATCATGTTTACCTTTCATCCTTCTTTAAGAGAGAATAGATTACCTAGATGGTCACAAAAATCTACTGGTAATTAAAAAAATGTCAATTCTTTTAACTAGAAACTAGGGGGCAAGGCTCCAGGGACTAAACACTAGTGGTTTGGTGATGTCACTGTCCTAGGTCCTTTTCTGTTGCCCATGGTAAAAATCTTTACAAAAAGCAACTTAGAGGAGAAAGGGTTTATTTTATTTTTCAATTCCAGGTCAGTCCGTCACTGCAGGAAGTCACAATGTCAAGAGCTTGAAGCAACTGGTTACATCATATCCACAGTCTAAGAGGAGAGAGAAATAAGTACCTGCCTGTGTGGCTTGCTTGCTTGCTTGTGCTCAGGTCAATTTCTATACACTTAAAAAGTGTGGAATCCTTTGCCTAGGGAATAATCACACAGTGGGCTGGATCTTCCCAGATCAATTAACTTAATTAAGACAATTCTCTGCAGACATGCCCACAGGCCAATCCAATATAGGCAACCCATCATTAGGCCTCTCTTTCCAGGTGATTCTGGGTTGTGTCAAGCTGTCAGGTACAGCTAGCCATCACACCACTTAAGACTCAAAGCCTATCAAACTTTCCGATCTACCACAGGCATTGTCTGTGTCCCTGTGGTCACAGATGGCCATCAGTAGTAACTGAGGCTCCTTCTCCTTTAGCCAACAAGAGAAAAATGGCTTCACACTTAGGCATTATCCAAAGCTTCCTAAAAAGCAAGCAAACAAACAAACAAACACCTTATCTTTTGAGGGGAAGCGGGTGGCAAACACAAGTCCTGTGCCCAAGTCTGGACAACAAACAGTACAGTGAATGTGAGTGCTGTGTGTTGATTGGCTTAGAAGAAAGTCTGCACTGAAGCTGGGGATGTGAATTTCTCCAAGACAAGCTGTTTATTCAAATAAAATTAGAGATTAGTTGATGGATAGGTGTCCATTAACAGAACCATTTAAGATGAATTAACTGTTGGAATTAATCTATGTACATGAATGCATCCATTTATCATCTCAAGCATTTCTGAAGACTGCAGTCTGGATCATCTAGAGATAAAAGCTATAGAAGCACTCAGAGATGTAAAAGTATTAATATTTTAATCAGATAACAGAGCATGGAGTTACTTCAATTATTTAAGTTATCTAGTCTAATCTAAGCCAGGAGATGATTTTCAACGACTAGTTGGTTAAAATAATATAATAAAAGGACTCCCTTTTCTGAGTTAATTCCTCCAGGGCAGATTCTGCTTGGGGCATATGTATAAACGAATGGAAATATTCCCATTTCATTGTGTAAATTCAAATGCTATGTACTTTTTTGTGGTAGCTGATAATAAATTTGTAGTGAGATCTGGTTTTGAAACATAGAGTGGTTATCCTTTCCTGTTTTAATACCGTGTGAAACTTGTTTAACTCATTATGTTTGATTCTTGGGGACATTTATGTTCAAGTTCTGTCAAAGCAATCTATTATTTCTGTTTTTACCCTGATGGATCATGGAGAAAAAGAATGGATTCAGTTATGAGAAGCAGTAATAGATTTTTTTTAAGCTGACATAAATTTCTCTCCTTGTATAGAATAAAAGGGTCAGGAAAAAGATAGGCTGAGTTTTTCACAATAAGCCAGCTCTTGTTCAAGTTACCTTCCATAAATTGTAGTCAAGCATTTTTCATGGAATGTTTTATTTATGTAACCCAGTTATTTGGAAGTGGTAATGAGGGATGTGAGTACAACATTTTATGTGGTATTTCGAATCGTTTTTGACAAAAACCTTAAGAAGTTTTGTGATAGGAAAATTCAAAATTCCATTAAGCCTCCTCTTAGGAGCATAAGGAAGGAAATGGGTTTAAATTACTAAGGGTCAAAGAGGCACAGAGTGGTGTCCTAGCAGTTGTACAGAGCTGAATATTTTGTCATCAAACATAAAGTCAAATCCACAGTGATCGAGAATGTACAACCATGCTGTATGAATGGGTAGCCTGAAAGGACACCAATGAACAAGCTTGTAGATACCACCACACTCACAACTACTACATCCATGTTTCTTTATGATAGTCACGTGGATCTAGGGTACCATGAGAGACACTAACTCTTTTGACTCTAGTTGTCTAAAGGAAATAATTCCATGGAAACCTTACCGTAACCCAGTTACAATTTCAGAGAGAAAGCAGAACCCAGGTGGTGCTCCATATCGATCATATGCTATATCTGAAATCAAGTTTTTCTTGAAATAGTTGGACATACAATATTTGGGCCAAATCACCTTGCAGGTAGCTTGTTATTGGTGACTTTTTAGGATTCTCTACAGAGATGCATTAGATATGAACTGGAATGGTGAGGAGTTAATCTCTTACTCACATTGCATCACCATCTCTTGTCACTGTTAAAGTAAAGGGGTTTGTATCCCTGACAATAGGTACCGAGAATGCTACCAGTGGACTGACTGGAAATGCTTGGTTCTTGGACTTCCTGGCACTACTGGAAGCTTTGGCTATGATCATCAGCAAGATGCAAAAACTCAGGATTATAGGAAAACAAAGCTAGAAATTTTGGTAGAGAATACCCATAAATATTTTAAGCCCTTGACATCAGCAATGTTTTAATGTCTATAATATCATCCTTCACTGCCCAAGTTGCCTACTAAACCCTTTCTGAGTTTTATCTGTCATTTTATCTCTATCTATCTATCTATCTATCTATCTATCTATCTATCTATCTATCTATCTATCTATCTATCTATCTAGTCTGTCTGTTGGTCCATCCATCCATCCATCCATCCATCCATCCATCCATCCATCCATCCATCCATCCATCCATTTATCTATTGTTACAGGGTTTCTCACGTAGCTCAGGTTATATTTATGTTTATCTTTTTATTATAGTTTGTTTGTTTTGTTTTGTTTTTGACTTTCCACATAGCCCTAGCTGTCCTGGGAAAGGCCTTGAACTCAGAGTGATCTATCTGTCTATCTCCCTTCTTTCCTATTTCTAACAGTCCTTCTTCTATGGTCAGGTCATTTTGTTAAACTTCTTCATATGAAAGAAAACATGACATTATTGTCTTTCTGCATCTGGCTTGTGTTATCTTAACATGGTATCAACCAATTCTATCCATTTTCCTGCAAATGATGTAATTTCATTCTTCTTTATGGCTAAATAATATATTCTATTTTCACTCTCTAGTTTATTTCTAAATGGAATAAGTAATTTTAGATATTAAGCAGGACTCTTAAAAGAGAAACAAAAGAGAGAGTCTAGGTTTGGTGACACTTGACTTGGAACTATTTTTTACCCTACCTGTTCTTGGTTTACAGTGGATTTGTTTAATATGGGAGTCACATCAAATTGCTAATTTTGAACTCGGCTTTTAGAAGATGACTCAAGTGCTTCAGAATCAACTTAGTTGTGGATCTACCACCTAAGCTTCTCATGTTTCATGGCAAGTAAGATGAGTCCTCAGTTGACTACATTAAAAGAGCTTGTAGGATGGAAAGCAAGCCTCAAAATCCCAGATATGTGATGTTGTCTTTGCCAAATATACGCTGCAGGGCACGGAGTCTGGCTGTTGGGGAAACCACCACCCAGGTGGCCAGCTGTGCTGGTGGTAGGAATGAGGGCTTTGATGTACCACACACCAGCAGCTATACCCCTGGGGTCAGAAGATATATACCCCACCTTTGCTCAATTCATTGGTTACACTTACGTGGCTTTGCCCACATGCAAGAAAAGCTGGTTTTGCAGTCCCACTGTGTGTCCAGAAATAGACTTTAGCAACACTATAGTGAGCAAAACAAGAGACTGTCACAACACACTAAAGCATTTAGTAAACTTCAAGTGATACCAGTTGGTGCACTACCATATATATTCATCTGTGTGTGTGTGTGTGTGTATGTGTGTGTGTGTGTGTGTGTTTACATGGGTGCTGGAGACGGAGCTTGGTTCTTTACACTTGTGCTGCAAACTCTCTATTCATTGAGCGTCTCTCTGACCCCATCATTGTTTTTCATTAATAATTTTATTATTCATTTAATAAGTATTTACTGATTACCTATGAATAGCAGACAATTGGCTAAATGCTTGGATCAAATTAAACAGCAGTGACATTGCCCCTGTTTTCTTTCAGTTTTTAAATCTTCCACAGACTCAGAGTGGGATATGTGAGTCTCAGCTCACAAATCTATACATACAACTTGTCTCTGGTTTTCACTCTGAGAATGTAATCGGCTGTGTGGTACCCATTTCCCTGCCTACTTCATTGAATCAAAAACTAGCTACAGAAACATTACATCTTAAGCCTCTTTTATAGGTAGGTATTGATAAGGAAATACAAGAGGACATTTGGATGCTTGTTTGAAAGACTTAGAGAGGGACAGAACGAGAGCTTTGCTCTTCCTTTCTTTTGTACCCTTGAAGCATGAAACCGGGTAGC